GCCACACCTGGCAAGGCATCCAGGCCTTGGCCATGATCTGTCATCATATGCGCAACTTTCCTAAGCCGGGAGCAGCGTGGTACATGGTGTCAATGACTTTCCTTCTCGCCATCGAATCGGGCCTTCATCGATCCGTTAAAGCTTGGGCGCATTCGAATCGAATGGACCGTCTGGAGATCGAGATGCGAAAGCGAATCTTTTGGACCCTGCATGTCCTGAAGACGAGTCTGAGCGGCAAGCTGGGCCGCCCGATGTCCATAAACCTAGAAGACATCGACGTTGAATTTCCGGAGCCTCTGGACGACTTCTTGCCCGGAGAAGAGGCAACCTTGACCCCATTCCGCAGATGCTCTTTCCAAGTGGGCATCCAAGCTGTCAAATACTCGGCTTGCGCGGCGATGCTGTTCCGCACCATCTACGCTGTACGCCAGTCGCCCCGAGGGTATGAAGACTCCGTCCGCCGCTTAGACGACGAGATCCGCATGTGGCGAGAAGCTGTCCCGCCCGAGCTTGCTGATCCTGCCAAGGCGTCTGTTGACAACTACATCTTTGCTTTGTACCTTGAATTCTGGCACTTGGAATTTCAGCTCCTGCTCCGCCATCCCGCTGTGTGTCGATCAACTGACCCCGACTTCGTGGACGCCAATCTGAACAAATGCCTTGAAATATCAGAGAAGATGCTTCACAATTGCATGGCAATCTCCAAGATTAAGAGTTTGGACATTCCGTGGATCAACACTGTTGTGTACATTGCCGCCATCTTCACCAGCTTGTTCATCCATTACCAGAGACGAGATCGCATGACCTTGGTCGATATGACCAAACTAAAGAACGACATGAGCCAGTGGATCCACGTCATGGGCATCTGTGGGCAGCTGCTGAGTATGTCATTCACCCAATGGCTCAGCCAATGCTAACACATCGCAGGGACAGGCAACAAGTTGAAGAATGCGGTAGAGAGGATAGTCGACCACTCACTAAGCAACATCAACGACAGCATCGTCAAGCGTTCAGCAACTGAGTCCCTAGCTCGAGTCGCCCTTCATGCCCCGCAAGGACGGGAACAGCCTCCAATGACATACAGCGCCGCAGACACCTATGGCCGCTACAGCGATACTCACTCAGCGCCAGTCAATCCCCAGCTTGCGGTTTCAGAGAGCTCTTACCGCGATGTCTCCGCAGGCATCCCTCTTTCCTACGGTAGTGCCACGGCTCCTGTGACCCCCCAAGCGCATGTTGGAAATGGGTATAACGCCCAGCCGTATGCTCCTGACGACACTGCTTTACTGGCGACTCACGCAGTAGCTTTCGCGGCTCCACCTGTTTCTGGCCAACGCCTCAACGGCTCATATGCGTACGCTGCCCCGCAGGACCACGCGATTCCCTTCCAGCCACATTACGACGCGGCACCGTTCGAGTCCTGGCAAATGTGGTCCCGGGAGAACGTTCAGCAGGTAGCACCGGTAACGGAGTATCTACCGTCTCGACCAAGCCACATGCCTCCCATCGGTCGTGAAGGCCCGCCAGCAATGGCGCATGTTGCAGGCGGTGCCGGTGGGCACACCTTCTTCCTCTCGATGTACGACTGGCCAAACGTGCAGTTCAACTTCAACTACACCCACGGCGACCACAATCAGTGACGAGTGATTTCGACAGCTTTGAGAATTGTCCGGTATATGATTTTTCTGGTGTTCTGAGCGAAAGCATTGCAGTGGCGTTCTTCGGGTATTATCCGGGTTTGAGGTTTGGGGTCTGGTCTGTTCGTACCCGGGTGTAATATGGGAAAATCAGCAAGCGTATTGCAAACGCGGATCGCTTTCAGGGATTGTTACGAGCAGAGACTCTATCTTTGGAGTTGCGAGATCTGGCCTTTGCGAGGCAATGGTCATCTCTATGAACACTTGTCGGTTGAGACTTTTTTAAGGCGCCGTGATGTCTTTATACCCGTACGCTCGGCCGCTGACAACCTGGTAGATGGTGCATGTGGCTGTGTCAGCCTGGTCTTTACTCTATTAGCACTATGTGCATAGCGGCGATGGCTTCATATCGCCTTTCTGGATCTGCTTGGGAATGCCATCCCGTCATGTTTCCTAGTCTCAGCCAGGGCCTGGCCATGCCGTATGCTAGTCATTGGAAGCTTGCCACTGCGAATCTTGACCGTGATCTGGGTGTCATGATCATGCCGGGGGTTATGCTGCTTGCTATGGTATGTCTTCAATATAAGTTTGACCGGCTCTGACTTGGGTTCCTGTTCGGCTCACTTTTTGTCGTCGGTCTGTGATCCCAGCCTCTGGTGTCCTAGATTCGATCCTGGAGTGGAAAAGGTTCTGATACCCGGCGTCGCGTCGCAAGTTTCTCAGCTTCTGAGTTCTCTTCTTTTCCTTTTTTCTGTTCATTTCCACAATTCTCTGCGGTTCCAACCATGCGTGTCTCTGTATCGACTTGTCTCCTCGCTCTCGCCCACCTCCGCACCACACTCGCCCTCAATGGCGCCCTCTTACGCCAAATCGGCGAACTCGCAGACCAAGGCCTCCTCCCCGACGGCACGCCGATGGCCCCCGTCACCTCCCCAGACACGTCAGACACGTCCTCCCTCATGGCCATAGCCTCAACAAACGACGACCTTTCCTCGGCCTCCCTCCTCTCCTCCCCTCCCTCCGACGACGACGATCTTCCCATCCGGCCCGAATATGTCGAACTGCCTCTCGACAATTTCGCCTCCGACGGCGATTACAGTTACTACGGGACCTTCTTCAACCGGTACTGGGTCAACTCCCGGTTCTACAAACCGGGCGGGCCCGTGTTTCTGTATGATTTCGGCGAGGCGGATGCGGGGACGGGGGCGCAGATGCGGTTGAGGAATGGGAGTGGGTTTTTCCGGGAAATGGTGGAGAGGTATCAGGGTGTGGGGATTGTGTGGGAGCATCGGTTTTGTGAGTTTTTTTTTTTTTTTTCTCGCGAGGGACATTTCAATTCCAATTTCAATTGGAAAACTGTTGAGATATATTAGAAAGGAAGGATGGTAAGAGCTGATTGAGAATCCACACAGACGGCAACTCGACCCCAGAACCAATAAACACAAACACCCCCCCCGAAGCCTTCCGCTTCCTGACAACCTCGCAAGCCCTCGCAGACGTAGATCGCTTCGCATGGCAATTCTCGCGCCCGGAAATCCCACACGATCTCACGCCGAAATCTACACCCTGGATCTTCATCGGCGGCTCCTACCCCGGCATGCGCGCCGCCTTCATGCGCGACAAATACCCTTCCACCATCTTCGCAGGGTACGCGTCCTCCGCGCCCACGCAAGCGCACATCGATATGAGTTCGTATTTCGAAGTCATCTGGGACGGGCTGCAAAATGCGGGGTTTGGGAACTGTACGAGGGATTTGCAGGCGGTTGTGAGGTGGGTGGATGGGATGCTTGAGAGAAATGAGACGGCGGCGGAGGTGAAAGAGATGTTTTTGGGAAAAGGAGCGAGTGGGAATTCGAATGGGGGTTTCGCGGACGCGCTGACGGTTGTTTTTGCCGTTTGGCAGAGTTATGGGGTGGAGGGGGGTTGGTATAGTCTTAGGGGATTGTGTGATCATATGGGGACGGATCCGGATGCGAAGGGCAGGGATGGGGAGAGGGGGGTTGTGAGTGGGCGGGAGGGGTGGGCGCGGAGGAAGGGCGCGGAGTGGAGTGCGAGGCGCTGGGCCAGTTGGAGGGGTTGGGTCGATATGGTGAATATGTATATGGGGACGGAGTGTTCGGGGGAGGCGGAGGTCGAGGGGAAATGTGAGTTGGATCGGCCGTTTGCGGATCCGAGTATGATTGCGTGGACGTGGCAGTATTGTACGGAGTGGGGTGAGTTTTTCGTTTCATTCCATGTTTCTGTTCCCTCCCCTCCCATCATACCCATTCAAGCCGCAACCTTGGAAATACTAGAAAGATCAACGGTTGACAACGAACAGGATACCTCCAATCCGCCAACCTAGGCCCAAAACAACTCCTCAGCAAACATAACTCCCTCTTCCACCAACGCGAAATCTGCCACCGCCAATTCCCCGCCGCTCTCCCCGAGTGGCCGCTCGTCACACGCACAAATCAGCGCTTCGGCGGCTGGGACCTCCGTCCCGCGAATGTGTACTGGACCGGCGGCGAGTATGATCCGTGGCGCACTTTATCGCCGCTGTCGAATGGTGTGAGGGTGAAAATGACGACGCGCGCGCCAAAGTGTAATGAGGAGCCGAAGAGAGGTGAGGTGTTTGGGTATTTGCTTCCGGGCGCTATGCATTGTTTTGATTTTAGGGCGAAGGATGTGTGGCCTGGGGCGGTGAGGGCGAGAGCGTATTTTACGGATGCGTTGGATGAGTGGTTGAAGTGTTGGAGGCCGGGGAGGGGGAGGGGGAGGGGTGGGAGGGGGTGATGGGAGGGGGGATTTAGAGGAATTTAGGACTGTTTTTGAGTTGAGATGGCCGTTCGCGAGAGTGAGGGGATCGCGTGTCTGGTAATGTATAGAGTGATCATGGAGCCCTTTGGGCTAGTGAGCACTTACATTGAATGAACTGACCGGAATGCTGAATGCGAAGTCTGGCTCTATCTCGTGGTAACCACAAGTGGTTTTAACGTTATCGGTAAACGTAGCCGTTGCCATTGACCACCCGAATTCGACTTTTGCTCTTGCTTTTTCATGGGAAAATCACTTATTGCCTTCTAGTGCCGAATGAAATATTCAAAGTTCGCAATTTTGGCCTTCAAATTCGGACAGTATGTAAATTCGTGCCCAACCAAGGGTGTGCCGCATAATCTCGGTGTTACATTGCACACTCCCCGAACCCGTCTGCTACCAACACAAACGGCTAATCTACCACTCCACCATCGATACCGGTTCTCGTCCACCGTCTTCACACAAAAACTTCATGAATCCCAATCCCCACTGACCCGTTCGTAACGCTGTTACTGCCTTCAAGTACCAAAACACAGCATCCTCTCCCATCAATCAAAAACAAATCACGCATCGGTGGTTTAGTGGTAAAATTAGCCGTTGCCATCGGCTAGCCCCGGGTTCGATTCCCGGCCGATGCATCTTCACCAAGCTGTACTGCTTCTGCGGTGTGACTTTGTGAATTTTTTTCATCTTTTACTTGGTGGTGGATAAAGTCACGAATGGGGTTAGCGCCATATGTTACCGAGGCTGCGCACGGGCCAGATTAAGGGACACCCGTGCGCGACAGGTCTATCAACTGTGGAGATGCAGAACTGTCTTCTTTATTTATTCTTTTTTAAAACTCGAGGCCGGGAAGAATATGCGGTTTTAGAATCTAAGGTGCAGTGTTTTGCAAGAGTTGCGTTTGAACGCTGCACTTGCGTGTGCTTAGACATGCTCGGATTTCTGTCCCTAGGGTAAGTCATCACCTCCGGCCGCTTGATAACTCGGGGAGTTTCACAGACTGTTGTAAGAAAGATGGGGCCTTAATACACCGTATCCCAGGCTCTTTTTTCCCATCCAGGCTATGATTTCAGAAAAGGGAGCGTATCGGACTCTCCTGGGTACGCCGGAAATCACTGAAAGGGTACGTCGTGCGACTATGAACATTATCTCTATCCAGCTTCTCGAGTACTCAAATAGAGCAGTGCACATCAACAGTTTCTCCTCATATCGCCCTTGCACGGTTTCAAATTCTTTACATCTGTAGGATTTGATCTGGATCTGTCGAGGTGAGTAGACGGGGCGACATTAACTTCCCAGTTGTTTTTGGCACGGGGGACACGGTGCGAGCCCTTCTCCACAACGTGTCGATCAATCCTTTGAGGCAATCTCGCGAAAATAGACGCTCCTCCGGTGAACTCCATTCGATGCCAGGCCTCTTGTTTACTGTGTATAGACAATAGTGGCGCAGTGAGGGCGAGATTGGCGGTGAGCGCACGTCGTCCCAAACTGGCAACTGAATCTTACAAGTCTCTTGGACGCACCGGAAATAAGCTTATCGTCACAGGCACATCGGGCGAGTATCTCATCACGACTCTTCTCTTCTGCAGCACCGAACATACCTTTGCGGCGGAGCACTCCAAGTCTATGCAAGGTACGCACGAATGCTCTCCTACCTGCGGCGAGATTTCTCTATTTCCGTTCGCTATCGGAAAGCTACTTCCCCACACGAGTGGGGAGCGTCGGAGGTTGAGCTACGAATTCGAAGTATCCCCGTCTTCGAGCTTCTGCGAAGACGGATATCGGAAGCTGCTTTGGTCTGTGCAAGATGAGTAGGGGACGCGATGCGGGGGCAGAATACACTAAAGGCTACCGTTGTGTCAGGGTTGGGGATTTGCCCATGGGCTTTCCTGCAGGTACCCCAGTCTAAGCGGTCATGAGAACGGATCCTACCAAAGTCTAAGCTGTGAGTCTGGTCTGCCTCGTGGACTCTGGGTGGACCTTCACGCAAGGGATCGTCGAAGCCTCGTGTACGCAGGGCTGGGTGCATTCGACGTTGTTGGAACTGTGAGAGTATCCAGCGACAACTCCTACAGCAGCTGTAGAATAGATGCGCCAAGACTATTAGGGTTCCCCAGATGCCGCTAGCGCCTGCTCTCCCTACAAGTTTCCACAAGTTCCCGGGTTTTGAACTTCACAACCCCACTCGAAACCCCCAACAGACGGAATTCCCGCGTGCGACCAAGGGCCCTCCAATTTGAGCTTCCTGAACGGCGGTAACGCTCCTATCTGACGCCACCGCGCCTCACCCGTATCAGGCAGGTGAGAACAGCTACCATCCGCGGGATCTGCACTATATAGTGCCGAGCGTTTACAACGCCAGGGGCCCGGCCCGCTTACTTTTCCTAATGAGGAATACCGTTTGCTTCAAGGATCACTCCAACGTCCGCCTCGTTGTTTACATAATGAACATGGCTCCGGTCCAGGCTACTCCGACGCCTCTGTGTGCCTTCACCTCGGTCGAGGCTTACTCCGTTAACCGGAACCCATGGAAAATGGGCTTACCTGAGGTGATCAATATCCGGAAGGTGGACAAGAGATGCAGTGAGCCGCGGATATTGGTGGAGGTGACTTGAGAAGACGAAATTGTATAAAGAACAGAGGCAAGACTTCGAGATGAAGGTCAGGGATCAGTACTCCTCTCAAAGCACACGAAAATGCGCGGTTCTCTTCTCGGAGCTTTGGCTCTGGCCCTCCCCTTCGTCCACGCACACCCCACCGCGAATCCGTCAAGGAGCCTCGGAGTGAGGAGACGTGCCGTCGTTGATCTTGAGCAATTCCGTCCCAAGATCGTCGCCGACTTTGTTGCCAACGCGGACATCGTTCCGGAGGACGATGCTGGCCTCGTCGAGAGGACTCCCGTCGAGAAGGCCACAGACAAAGTCAAGCTGACGGTGATGGGAGCCACTTTCCGCCTTGTAGAGAGCTACGAGAGTAGCAATGGCATGACGCATGTCTACTTCAAGCAGACTGCCAATGGCATCGATATTGACAACGGCGACTTCAACGTCAACGTGAGTAGTTGAGCAATTGCTTTGTTTCCCTGCTAACAAGTTCAGGTCAAAAACGGAGACATCTTCTCTTTCGGAAACTCTTTCTACACTGGAAAGATCCCTGAGAAGCTCGACTTGACGAAGAGGGAGCAGGAGGACCCTGCAGAGGCCGTGAAGGGAGCCGTCAACGTGCTGCAGCTCCCCATTGAGGCTGACTCTGCTACCGCCGTGCCCAAGCAAGGCAAGAAGGATACGTACGCCATCAAGAACACTTCGGGAGCCGAGAAGGAGCCCGAGGCGAAGTTGGTGTACTTCCAGAAGGATGACGGCACTCTTGCCCTTACCTGGAGGGTCGAGACCGACATCCTCGACAACTGGCTGCTGTCCTACGTCGACGCAAAGGACCCGTCGACCGTCCACGGTGTCATCGACTATGCTCAGGATGCTACCTACGAGGTCTAGTAAGTTTGCATGTCTTCCTCTTCTGGACTGTAAGCTAACCAGACACAGCCCCTGGGGTATCAACGATCCCTCTGAGGGCTCGCGCGTGGTGGTTCGCGACCCCTGGCTTGTCCAGGCCAGTGAGTTCGGGTGGCACAGCGACGGTGGTGCCAATTACACCACCACCCGCGGCAACAACGGCATTGCACAGAGCAACCACGCCAACAGCGCCGACTACCTGAACCAGCCCCGCCCCATCAGCGAGACTCTCGACTTCAGGTACCCCTTCTCCACCAACGATACCGACTGGAAGGGATATGCCAATGCCTCCATCACCCAGCTGTTCTACACGGCCAACAAGTTCCACGATCTCATGTACCTGATGGGCTTCAACGAGCGCGCCGGCAACTTCGAGTTCAACAACAACGGCGCCCGCGGCCTCGGCGCCGACTTCGTCATCCTGAACACCCAGGACGGCTCCGGCCTCAACAACGCCAACTTCGCCACTCCTCCCGATGGCACCCCGGGCCGCATGCGGATGTACATGTGGGACACTGCTACCCCGTGGCGCGACTCCAGCTTCGAAGCCGGCGTCGTGATCCACGAGTACGCCCACGGCGTCTCCAACCGTCTCACCGGTGGCCCCCAGAACTCGCAGTGCTTGGGTCTTCTTGAGTCTGGCGGTATGGGCGAGGGCTGGGGAGATTTCCTGGCCACGGCCATCCGTCTCAAGAACCAGGACAACCGCAACACCAACTATCCCATGGGCGCCTGGGTCAACAACGACCCGCGCGGCATCCGTGCCTACCCCTACTCCACCGACGTCAGCGTCAACCCGCACGTCTACACTGACGCCAATGCCCTCACCCGCGTGCACGCCATCGGCACCATCTGGGCCACCATGCTGTACGAGGTCATGTGGAACCTGATTGACAAGTGGGGCAAGAACGACCGCGACGTGCCGACGTTCGACCAGGACGGCGTGCCCACCGACGGCAAGTATCTCGCCATCAAGCTGGTCGTCGACGCCATGAAGCTGCAGCCTTGCAACCCTACCTTCATCTCCGCCCGTGACGCCATCCTCGATGCCGACAAGGACCTGACCAACGGCGCCAACGTGTGCCAGATTTGGAGGGCTTTCGCCAAGCGCGGCCTCGGTCGCGATGCGAAGTATGCTCAGACGGCCCGCATTGCTTCTTATGAGATCCCCGCTGGTGTGTGCTAGAGGGTTGGTGGTAGTAATGACTTAATCAATGGAATTTTCATGTTCAACTTTGAGTTTGTGCGCTTTGTGATGCGGATTGTATGTCTAACCTTCCATACTCACCCACGACAGCATCTCCATAGCAGAATTGACTCCCGCAGGCTCATGACTACGAAGATACGACTTGGACAGGACCGAGACGCAGCCCGACCACGCATTAATACACATCAAGGCGGCCGGCGAGGATAACGTGAAAGACTTGAGGATGTGGTAACTATCTTGTTCATCTTACAACCCTCGGAGCCATTGTGCGTGGCATCAGCCATCATGTAAGGAGCGAAATTGGAAATATTGCTCAACACTATTTGATTTCTACAGCCCAAACATGTGGGGAGCAAGACAGATTGCAGAGGCAGTATCTGAATCGACAATGGCGATTCTTGGGACAAAGTGATGATAGTGGTGATGGATAGCACCTTCCCGAAATATATTCGACGGGACAAAAGTCACGCCCAGATAGACAAACGTGCCAGGCTGTTATGTGGACTTTTGGTCGACGCCTCTCGCACATAGCAGCAGAACAAGAGAATTTTCAAATTTCGCTTTCCAAGGTGTCCAGTGCTTTGGTGTGTCGTAGATCAGAGTAATATTTAGCCCGTTGGAAGTGGAAACAGTGGAGAAAAGAGGGAAGGAAGGAATCATGATGATGATGATGAGTTGCGTTATCGCAACTTCCAGATTCTGTACAGCTAGAAGCTGAAGCCTCGCTAAGACCCTAAACTTTGCACCAACATTCGAACATCATGGATAGCAAAGCTTTCGAAGACCAGAGCAGCCTTAAAGAGGTGAGGCTGACGACTTCGCCGAATACATTTTGTATTTGAGCATACTTAATTCACAATGCGCTTGAAATCATCGCAAGGAACCACCCCACCGCATCCCTCAGGATGTTTTCCCG